TGGGGTGACTGTTTTTAATCATGTAAGGGAAATGAAAAACATGTTTTTACCTGTATTCATTATAGTCATTCTCGTGAAAAATGGAATGTAACCACATTGTGCTTTCTGTATTGCCTGAAAGATTTTGTTGGGGTATATAAGCTATAAAAAAAAAGTTTACTAGAGAAGGAGGAGGAGGAGGAGAAAGAGAATAAAGGAGGGAACCATCAAGAGAGTGTGAGTGTCTTTTTCTCTAACCCCCTCAGATAGAAAAGTCTAGTACCCACTAATGCAGTGGATTTCCCTTCAGGCCCTAAGGTATCTGGAAGCTGATCCCTCTATTATAGAGATTCAGCTGTTTATTAAAGCTATACTTTGACCAACCAAGGGCCTGTCAAAAAGCAAGCCATTTATTATGAATATCTGGTGTTATCCAGCTTTTAATACTTCAGCTGTCTTCTGCTATGAAATTCTTGCATGCCCAAATATTCCTAGACCATTTGGCAAACAGTTCAGCTCCTTGGACCTACTGACTAACTCCCCAGTTGAGCCTAGGAGACAAGCTGGCTGGAGATGCATAGCTTTGTTTCTTGTGCAAATGAAGCTCAGACCATCCCCTTCCTCCATGCTTAGTGGCAAGGCAGAGAGACTGACTGAAGACAATAGAGCATTTTATGTAACCAGGTGCACTAAGGACTGGAGCAGAACTACAGAGGCCGACACAGAACCACAGAACCGCATGGCCAGAGAGAGGAGAGCAAGAGTGAAGGATAAGGCAGAAACAGAGGACACAGAACCACATGGCCAAACAGAAGGGAGGAAGACAGAGGTTCAGTAGAGGGTAAAGCAGATCTCTTGTAGAGTTTATCAGGGCCAGGGGTAAGGAGGCAGAAATGATAAAGATGGAGGATGAAGGAATGGAGGAGGAAGATCAGGTAAAAGGCACAAGAGTTTACTAAAACTATGAGGACAGGATAACGGGCCACAGAGAAGAGCTGAATGTGAGGACAGGGCTGAAACTGTATAGATAGAATTGGCTTAGAAGAATAAAGTGAATGGACTAAAGATTCAGTGTACCTAGATGCATTCCTGCGCCACTGGTAGTGTCCCTTCTGGACCCCCTGGGATAGTAGAATATTAAGGTTGGTCCACAGTTGATGTTCATGGCTCTTTGTGGTAATGTATTGTCCCGTCCCCTGTCCTCCCAATATACTGTGTTTCCCAATAAAATTTACCTGAGGATCAGAGGAAAAAGCCACCCACTATATTAGCATAGACGTCAGGCAATGGTAGCTCACACCTTTAATCCTGTTTCTTAGGCTCTGTGTTGATATCCACGGCTCCTGTTGCCATCAAAGGACATGCATCTGCTCTGGGTCTGGGCTGCCACCCGGGGCCATGTTGGTGTCTGAGGGCCATGCTGCCAATGGGGCCATGCCAATCTGAGTGACCTGTGCTGCCACCTATGGCCATGGTAACATCCAGGCCTAGGCTGCTGCCGAGGACCATGTCTGGATCAGTGGTCCTACTGCAGCTGGGGTCTGTGTCGAAGTCCAAGGCCTATGTTGCCACCGAAGGCCACACAGAAGCCTAGAGTCTGGGTTGCAACTTGTGGCCTTGTCGGTGTTTGAGGGCAATGCTGCCACCCAAATCCATGATGTTAGCCAGGCTCAAGCTGCCTCGGAGGGTCATTTCTGGGTTTGCGGTCCAGCTGAAGCTGGGATCTGTGCTGATGTCTATGGCCCTGTGTTATCATAAGGAGCCATATGAACCATGCGTGATGAAATCAGAGGGCCTTTGGCTGGCCCTGGGAAAGCTAGCCCTGCCCCTTGCTAGACATTGTAGCAAGAGAGCTGATGCCTACCCTCTCAGAAGAGTTGTTTACCCCACCACCCTGGCACTTGGGAGAGATGGCCCCACCTATGGGCATGGAGAGAACTGGCCCTGATGGCATGGATGTAGAAGAGCTGGCTCTGCCCCTCAACTGATGGAGGTGCCCCACGGGCCCAAATTGAACAGCTCTGCTGCCACCCAGGTCAACATCCAGGGCCTTGGGCAGGCCCTCCCTAACATCTACTCATCTGTGTTCTGCTGGAGCAATGTGAAAGGACTGATCCTGCGGGATCTCCATGACTGGGGGTAGCTGTGGTATATCAGAGAGGAGTTTTGGTGAGGGTCCAGTGATGATAGTTTACCAGAAACCAGAGGCCTTGAACCTGACCAATGACTTATTGTAATGAGCATTTGCAAGTAAGGCTGACTGGACAAAAGTGTACACTATGTGACACACCATGGCTCCCAATGCCACTAACACGAATGGAGAGATGTTGGAAGGATGGGAAAGACAGAGGAACAAAGAGGTTTTTGGTTTTTTGGGGGGGAGGGGGAGATGCTGCAAGGGTGAGGGGTAGATATGGAGGGGACTGGAAGATTAGCAGAATCTAATTGGGATGCATGATGTGAAATTCCCAAAGAATCAAAATTTCCCAAAGGAAGTTTGTTAAAAAAAATAAAATTGAAATAAATGTAAAAAAGAATATGAAATAACATTCACAAATATAACATATGAGCAATATGTTAACTCATCTTTTGAAATTATAAGTCAATGACTTTTAGCTATAAAATGGTGACATAAAAGTCACGTTATTAAATATTTTCCCTGAAAGAAATAGTATTAAAAATAAGAAAAATGGAGGATGTGAATTGTGAGAAAATTATGATATACATGTATTAATATAAAAATGTAATGATGAAATACATTATTTTGTTTGCTTAAAATAATAACAACAATGGGGTGCTGGTGGCACATGCCTTTAATCCCAGCACTTGGGAGGCAGAAGCAGGCAGATTTCTGTGAATCTGAGGCCAGCCTGGTCTACAGAGTGAGTTCCAGGACAGCCAGGGCTACACAGAGAAATCCTGTCTTGAAAAACCAGAAAAAAGATCACAATAATGACAATTTTCTATGTTCTCTTTGAAGTTAAAAAGCTTGTAGCATATTTGAAGCCTATGTTGACTATGTTTTTATCTCTGGGTTGTCAATCCACTCAACATTAACCTGGGCTTCCTCTGGCAAATGCTGGTTTTGATGTCTGGGCAAAGAAATGCTGTACCCAGAAAACAGCTGTAGAAGTTCAGATTGTATGGAATAATTGGAATTTAAGTAGGAAGAAATATCTTTATTTTTCCTTAAAATTGGGTACTCATTTTTATGTCATTCTAAATTTACTGATCTAGACTAATAGCATTTCACTCAAATATCTAAATATTGAATAACATTTTAAAAGTTGTACATAAAAAAGTTGCTTGGAATTTTATATTGTTATTTACAATGGTTAGAATCAAGATAAAGAACATTAAAATACTATTTCTGTTCTATCCCTTTGCTTCCCAACCACTAGTCAATTTGCTGTAGTTAGTATATGCACTTTCATTAGTGTAGGCATATACATATGTAACTCACAATTTTATTTTTATTTCTGGTTTGTGTCTTATTATTCTTGAGGGGAGAGGGAAAGAAAGAAAAAGACAAACAAACAATAGAAACCTCCACAAAATATCAGAAAAATTTTGGGAAATTTCCCTGTCAATTTGTAGAAACACCTTCTTTTCATTGTCATCTTTGACCTTCCAACAAGTTTTCCAAATGCTTTAGTGTTTCTTCCTACAATAACATAAATAGAAAATGCTTGTGTTTATTATATATGAAGCTATATGAAGTGTCCATGTTTACTATATGAGAATACTATATAAAGTGCCCTCTTGGTGGTCTGGCTATAGAGCAAATGTGCTTTGAACTTTAATCATTCAAATGGCTATGATTCTTGACATGTTTCCTTAGCTCTGTAAAATGTGTACCAACCGAAGAACATATCAAAATATTGTGTGGACAATGAATGAAATAGTGTTTTATGATCGAGTAACTTAGTACCTAATGTAAATAAGCATTTGATTAATGTTATCTCTTATTTTCTGGGACTCTCTTGAGAGGCATTTTAAAGGTCACAATTTAAAATACAAACATTTTAAATTATTAGTAAGTAATTCACATTACTACTGGTTTTCTAAGAGACACTGAAATCTGATCATGTTGTAATTTTTATTATAAAAACACAAAAACTCTTAAAAATAATTTTATTTTTAGAAACATTTCATTGTTAGTGCCCAGAAAGCTTTAGAAAAGTCAAAAATTTGAAAATTCATTCATGACAACTATTTCACGTTAGTAGTAGACATTCATGACACTTGAATCTTCATGGGAGAACACAAACATTTTTTGCTTACTGTGAATCACATCACCCATTTTCCCTACATCAGACTCCATCCTGATGTTTCCCTCTCTCCTGTACAGATAACCAGATTGGCAGGATGTTTCCTTACACATTTGTGATTGAATGGCTCTAAATACCTCCTGCTTATTTCTATGCATTTGTGAGGATCTTAATCTTTGGTTCAAAAGACAATGTTGTAAAAAAAAAAAAAAATACCAGTGAAGCACAAAAGACCACTCATCCTTCTATGAAACTGCTTTCTAATATCTTATTAAAATACCCTTACGAAATGTTTTTCTTAATCCTCAAGTATTTCATGTGTACAATAAAATACTAACTTATCTACTCCAATTCCTCTTCTAACTACTCTCATATTCCACCAGCATTTTCTCCTCTCAACTTCATGTATTCTTTTATTATAATCTGTTAAATCCATACTAGATCCAGTGAGCACTGCCCATTTGTGCACAGGTGTGGAGCTGTGCACTGGAGCATTGGGATGCTCTCTATAGCCACATCTTCAAAAAGAATAATTTTTCCACCATAGAAATTACTAACTGCCAATAACACCTCCGTAGGGCTGGTCCTGGAGATCATCATCTACCACATCTAAACTGGAGTTTTTGCTGGTGTTATCCTGTGCATGTGTAAGGCAGACAACCAGAGCTTCTTCCAGTTCTGAAGTGCATTAGCTGTCATGTTCAGAGGAGAGCCTTTTGTAGCCCTCCAACCTATCCTCTGGACCCTTCAACAGTCGCATCAATATTGCACCAGGGAGCACATCTTGTCTTGCAGGACAGTATTGCAGCATGCAGGGCCCAGAGCTAGGTAAGAGCACTGATGTCTTTTCTTTCTTATCTGCCTGCATAGCCCTATCTGACACCATGAAAGCTAGCTAGCAGGGGAGAAAATTCCTAGGTGTGAGATTGCTCTCTTTAGGTCCTGAAGTCAGAGTGTTTGGTGTTTTCGGCACTAAGGTCTTAACCTGAGTCATGGGGAGATAATCAAGGGCAATGGCAATGGCAATAGCCTGTCAGGGACAAGGACAAAATCTCTAGTTAGTGGAAAAATACAGACCCCCCCCCCATAAGACAGGGAACTAGATCATCTTACAGTCAGCCTAGCAACATGACATTGAGTCAGAGCCCTAGACCCTTTCACCCTGTAAACATCCTATACAAACATCCTGTTAGCTTGCCCCACCTTATGCAGATGACAGCTTCTTGCTCCCTCACACCCTGCAGGAACTATATAAACCCTTCTGGAGAAAATAAAGTTGCACCTTGATCAGAATCTAGACTTGGTGTATTTTCCTTTGTATCTCCTGTCCCTACATTCACTCCTTAGGGTGATCAAGTACCCGTTGTAGCCCTGCAGGCTGGGCAATAGCCTGTGCTGTTTGGGTGATTTCTGGGTCCTCCTAGACCAGTAACTTGTAGATATGTGTATCATGCCTGCAGGGTGAGGAAAATTCATTCTTGAGAATATCTGAAGGCAATTCAAAGATATGGTGAAGTTCTCTCTCCCTTCTCTCTCTCTCTCTCTCTCTCTCTCTCTCTCTCTCTCTCTCTCTCTCTCTCTCTCTCTGTGTGTGTGTGTGGTGTGAAAGTTTCAGTGTATAAGAAGTTTTTAGTAGCTTTTTATACCACCCTGGAAACGATCATGACATTTTTGGATAAAATTATACTATCACCACCTGTGTGAGTAACTATGTCTATTCTCCACCTCCCCATTGTCCCTTTTCTGGGATGGCCTGCCAGCAGCCACATGATTACACCTGTGTCTGTGCAGAAGGATTTGCTATGGTTTCAGGAGAGGAGTGGGTTCATAGTTTTGACAGAGGAACTTGGTGAAGAACGTTGTTTGGCAACAGTCTGATATTCTAAGATGAACATAGATCACAGGAGTTCCCCTAGAATACAAATGACTGGCCTTATGACCTCTCTGAAAGAGAAATAGAAAAGCCCATAACACAAAATGAAAGCATTTGTTTGCATGGAGTAAGGCTTTTTTAGAGTTTGAATGGGTAAAGACCACTTTTAACTTTCACATCTTGTTCTTTCAAGGAATGTGCAGATGAAAGACATTAGTGATGAACTCCCAGTCACCATTAATCCAATGGTATTGCATTAAGGAAAGAAATAAGAGCACCTGTAGCTAGAGTTTTCCTGCCTGGCCCACAGTCAGGACAAATCTCTGTCACCTGCCAGTCCCACAGCTGCTCAGACCCAACCAAGCAAACATAGAGACTTATATTGCTTATAAACTGTATGGCTGTGGCAGGCTTCTTGCTAACTGTTCTTATATCTTAAATTAATCCACTTCTATAAATCTATACCTTGCCACGTGGCTTGTGGCTTACTGGCGTCTTCACATGCTGCTTGTCCTGGTGATGGCTGGCAGTGACTCCCCTGTCTTCCTGTTCCCTCCTTTCTCCTCTCTGTTAGTCCCACCTATACTTCCTGCCTGGCCACTGGCCAATCAGTGTTTTATTTATTGACCAATCAGAGCATTTGACATACAGACCATCCCACAGCAAGCACCCTCTCTCCTTGGAGTTGTTTAACCAAAGTGAGCCCATATTTGAATTCTCGACTTCATGCTCCCTGCATCTCCTGTCCTTTGTGTATTATAAGAGTCTGGATCTGTGTCTGCCTGGGGCTGTCTTGTGAATCTGTTCCTGTCCCTGTTTCCATGTGTGATTGTGTGTTTTTGTGCATTTCTGTCTATTGTATGGCTGTATGTGTGGTGTTCTGTCTGTGTGTTTCCCTAACAAATACTTTATCTCTGTGTTTATTGAACAGTACAGAAAGCATCATACAGGGAAAAATGGTACACTTTACAGAAATTGTTAATGGAATTTTATAAGGAATTAAGTCACTGACTGACTCAAACAACAAACAGTATTACAAATATCATTGTTTATCAACCAACCATAAATAGATGTTAATTTTAGAAGGCTGCTTCTGTATTTGCTGCTTTCAGCAAATGATATACATGCATTGTTCTGGGTCAGAGGCATGTAAGAATACATAATTTAAGATTACAGCTGTGTAGTAGTTTAGGTCATGAAAGTTGATTACATGGGAATTCTAATGCAAGTAAGATTAGTTCTTACATCACTCTCTTAAAAAACAGGTTAAACAAACAGGCTGAGTACACAGTAAACTAACAATCTTAAGTAACCTCAAGTGTATTATTAACTCTGGCTGTGAGGTCCAGCAAAAGTTCCTGTCTCTTAGAATGTAAGAGGAATTTTCATAATATCGCATCACCACAAAAGAGGTCTTAGTTTTCTTTGCATAGAAAACCCTAACATCACAGATATGGTCGCATCCATAGTGCCTTGATTATGCCATTTGGTGTCAGATAATTATAGAGAAAGTAAATTAAACATACTCTCTTGTCAGGTTGATAGCTGAAAAGGAACCCAATCTTCTACATAGAAATCACAAGCCAGGATACTGAGCTTCCTAGAAATCAGTGTGAGTTGAGCAGGGCTTTGTAATGTTCAAATATTTTGGGAGGTGAGATCACCTTCAAAGGGCTTGGACTTGTATACTGTATACCAGAAGACCTTCATGATTTGGGAGGTTATGGAACCTTGGTACCATAGGCTTGCCTGGTAAATGTGGTGGGTCTCTCCTTCTCTTTCTCCCTCTCTCTTACTCCCTCCTTTCCCTGCCTCCCCCAACTTTTTTGTTTCTTGCTATCCCAAGATGTTAACAGACCAAGCCACATCACCTGGTTTGCCCAGCACCAAACGGAATCCTTTTTCTGCCTGGCAAAGAACATTAACTTCCATCGTTCACCCCTCCGTTGCTCAGATTACATAGGATCCTCCTCACAGTCTGAAGCATTGGCCTTTATTTATAGAGTTTTTCTTTAACTGTATTAGTCAGACTTTCATTGCTGTGACACATTCCTGAGAGAAACAGGGTCTATTTGGACTTAGGATTTCAGAGGCTCCATAGTCCATGGTCGGTAGGCTCTTGTTTTGGGGTAGTGGTGAGGCATTAGGAGATGGCAGCTGAGTAGGAGCAAGAGAGACAAGAGATAGAGAGAGACAGAGGCAGAGAGAAATCAGAGTGAGATTTAGCCCTAAGGGCACAATGCAGCAACCTATTACCTACAATAAGATTTACTATCTAAAATTCCCCAAACTTCCCAAGATGATTCTGTATGTTGGGAACCAAGCATTCAATACAGGATCCTGTGGGAAACATTTCAAACTTAAGCAGTGAGAACATTTCCTACTATAATGGATATGTTTCAGAGTTTATCCCTGTTGTACAGAAAAGGATAGGACAAAATTGGGACCTCAAATGTTTGGGGACTACATGATTGAAAAAGGGAAAGGTGAATGAATGAGGAGGTGAATGAGTTAATCCTTTAACCACAACATTGAGTTACCACATGGGCCAACATTAACTCATTCACAACACAGATCTCATTGTTTCCTGTAGTATAGAGTGAGTCAGAATTCAGAAGTGTGAATCTCTTCTGAATCCTGGTGTGTGTGTGTGTGTGTGTGTGTGTGTGTGTGTGTGTGTGTGTGTGATATGTATATTTATTTGGCTACATTCTATTAAAAATTTCTCAGACTATAAGGGTTTTTCCCCCCAACAACTATGCCTCCGTTTTGCCCTTTTAACTCTGAATCTTTGGTCTGGTATAATTTTTCTACATACTCCGGTTAGGAACTATTTTTGTTATCATGTCATCATTGCAAAACTTTCTTGACCAACCTTACAAAGATGTTTTCATGTCTTTTTGTGTGGGAAAGGAGGGAACTGTGTACATGCTGGGCAAGTACTACTTGAGTGAACTGTACTGCAGCCCCATCTGGTGTCATTATTAAGAAATATCAGTAAACACACATTTGAACACATTGTGTGAATTAAATTTGAAAGTGATTGATGGTTCTTATGTCACTTTTTTCATTTTAGAAAAGCAACTGACTTCAGATAAAGTTACTTTAAATGTAATATAATTAAATTTTGGTGAAATTATTATCAAAAGTAGTTTAGGGTAAAAAGTTAAAGATGAAGTTCAGCCTTAGAGAAAGACTTGGAGAGATGCAGACATTCTAGTTACTAGAGCAGATGGTGAGAAAGAACACAGGCAGCCTCAGGCCACTGGGGTGCTGTGTTGCTGTGTTGCTCAGAGTGAACAGAGGAAGACCAAGTAGGAAAACTTGTGGAAAGAGATGCGGAATAGTATGTGTACACACACACACACACACACACACACACACACTTTCATTCACTGCAGGTCCTATAAAGAAGTCCTTCTGTCCTTAGTATAGTAACAGATAACTTCAAGGCCTCTGTTTGAACATCAGAGCTGCCAATTGAAGGAAAGAAATCTCTACTCCACTCTATTTCTATATTTGATGCCATGAGTGAGAAATCTGTGGCATGTGTACCCTATGGGATCATGCATTTGAGCATGTGGGAAGTTATGGAACCTTTTTGGAGGTGTAGCCTTGCTGGAGGAAGTATGTCACTGGGGAAGGACTTTGAGAGTTGTTGCCTCTTCCCACTTCCAGTTCACTCTCTCTGTTTTCCAGGTGTGGATAAAGATGTGATCTCTAGGGTTCTTGTTTCCAACATCATGTCTGCTGCTTGGTGCCCTGCCTTCCCATAGAAACAGACTCATCCTTCAGGAATGTAAGTAAAAATAAACAAATTCATCCATAAGTTGCTTTTGGTTGTGATTTTTTTTATAACAGCAACAAAGAGGGAATTGACAGACCTACCAAATATATTTCTCAATGCGCATCACACAAGTTAATTCTGCCTGAAACCTTATGACATTATTTGTGTGAATTTTTGGGAAAGGAATATATAGGAACTTGTGGCTCCCAACACAAACTCATGTGCAACCTCAAAATGGCTTCCAGTTACAGGTTGGTTATTCATTCCGTGACCATCCCAGAGCACTTCTCAGGAGTCTTCTCACTCTGCCACTGTCAGGTAGTTAAGATGCTATTCTGCATCTCTTTCTACGCCAATTTTTCCCAGTCTGTGTCTCTCACCCTCTGATCTATAATCACAATAGTTCAAACTGAGGGAAGTAAGTCATATTTTTTCTAGGCCTTTGAGTTCTCTAAAAACTAGAGAACATGAGGTTTTATACAAAATTATGTCATTTATTGACCCAAAGGAATATGGTTAAATTATTTTTCTAACATCGCCCCCATCTACACAGATATCTGCTTCTGGATTACTACATGAATGGTGAATATAATAGCTGTCAAAAGGCTGGAATGTTGGTGGAAGTTTCTCTTCCACCTGCCTGTTTCCAAATACCCAGCAGCCACTTCTTAAATAATTGACTTGGAGGCTTAATATTAATTACAAACTGTTTGGCCTATGACTCAGGCTTATTACTAACTCACTCCTATTCTTAAATTAACCCATAATTCTTATTTATGTTTAGCCACCTGGCTTGGTACCTTTTCTCTATCTGACATTCTCATCTTCCTTCCTCTGTGTCTGATTGGTGACTCCTGACTTCCTCTTCCCAGAGTTCTCGAGTCTGGTCACCCCACATATACTTCCTGCCTGGCTAATAGCCAATCAACATTTTATTAAACCAATTACAGTGACAAATCTTTACACTGTACAAGAGAATTATTCCACAGTATTTCCCCATTTTTGTTTAATTAAAAAGGAAGATTTTAACCTTAATATAGTAAAATAAAAACAGTTATTAAGAATTATAGTAACAATATCCAATCCATTTGCATTTGACAAAATTAGAGAAAATACTTAATTATCTATCTAACCTTGGTGATTCTAAAATTTAATATCTAATATACTTTCTGTTATAACTAAGGGAAACTATAATTATAACTATTTAGTCTTCAACTCCATCAAAGACCCCATAAGGATGTAATGTTACCGAATAATAAGGACATCTGGCTGCCTGGACAGTCACCCAACGTTTCTCTGTGACATTGGGGCATCCATCTCTGGCCTACAGGCCTAGCATATCTGACAGACTTATCTGTAAAGCAGAATATTCTAAAGGGCTGTCCTACCTTGTCTTTGCAAGTTCAGCAGTCACTTTCTTTTGTGTCCTGCTTGTCCAATTTATACAGCATACTGTCAACAGTCAAGGCAAAGGCACTTTTTTTTTTTTTTTTTTTTTACCCACATGGCTCATTCTTGCTATAAAGAAAACAAACTCTATATGGAGTTTCTTCAATGCCCATCATCCTCTTTGAAGTAATGGGTGCTGCCAGGAGCAGATGTGTCTGCATATCTCTTTTTCTGACCACATGAGCATTTAATCTGCTAAGCAGGCATGGCTAGGATTAAAGCAGCTGGCTTCACCCTACTCCTTGCTTCCTAAGAGTCTAGCTTCATGGTGGAGGTACTGGTGGGAGCTGCATGTATCCCCCCCAACTCTGGGGAGGTTTCAGGTCCATGCCACCACTGAGTAGCATGCTGCTGGCAGTTCATAAATACCATATAAATGTTTGGCAGCAGGGCCTCTTAAAAGAGCCACACTGTTTTTGAAACTAACACAGTCAGGAAACTGTCTCTTAAAGAAGCCATGGACTCTGCTGCTATCTTATTACAGATGATTGTGAGCCACCATGTGGTTGCTGGGAATTGGACTTAGGACCCTTGGAAAAGCAACCAGTACTCTTAACCACTGAGTTATCTCTCCAGCCCCACTTGGCTTTCCAGCATGGCACAGGTACCAGTGAGTCACACTTACCTCCCCAGTTCTGGGAAGCAGTATGAAATAGCATGGAGCTGTGTTTTCAAGCCTGTAGGCTGCAGCTGGGAGAAGTCTCTCTATACTGTGACCCTTGAGAGACTGTGGGATTCTGCCACGTTGCTACTGAAGCCCACCACAATGAGGGAGGGAAATGTGTTTCTGTGCTGTGGCCTCCATGAGCGACATGAACTAGGAAGCTGCTCTTGGCCCCATTCTAGAATTTCTTCTTAAGCTCTTTGAGGTTTTAGGTACAAACTCTTGCCACCATGTCTGGGCACCAATTGTAGCCAGATTGTTGCGGCAACGCCCGTGTTACTGATACCTGTTCACCATGTCCGATAGAGGGGCTGCTGATTAAAAAATAGAGACAAGAGACAGCGAGTCATTCGCCATGGCTGAATGCCAAATGCCATTTATTGAAAGAGGGAAGAAACCTTAAATACAGGCTTACAGTACAATAGAGGATCCCTGGAGGGCAGAAGTTCACTACCCAATGTTCTACATTCTTGCATCTAAGTTGTTTATACCAAATGCAGGATACAGGAACAATAACCTCCGGTGAGCTCTCCAATGATCATTAGGTGAGAAGGAAACCGGCAGGGAATCTGAATAGGGAGGACATCTGGTCAAGGTCGGCAAGCAAGGTGGCAGCCACTCACAGTTGGGGGCCAGGGCCCACAGGTCCCCCCTTTTTATTAAAAAAAAAAAAATGAGCTTCTGACTTAGGTTGCGTGGGACGTCAGCAGGTCACCTTACCCGTCATAGAGACACCTGCCCAGGCCACACAAGTGCTCTGTCTTAGGTGGATCACCACCCCCAAGCATTACCCGTCTCTGAATACTCATTATCATACAGACTCAACCACGTGAGCTGTAGAGTAACTGCTGCCAAAGATCTCAAAGTGGTGCTGGGCTTGCAATCTGTGAGACACAGAAAAGACCAACAGAAGTCCTAACCCACCCATAGCCAGGAGGCTAAAGGCAATTGAACCATTCCCTTCTT